ATGTTATCACATCTGAATAAATCCAAAACGATGATGGCCATAAAGATGGTGAATACAATAAATAATAGTGACAAACTTGTGTAATCAACACAATACTTTAAATAAACGGATAAGGAATAAAAGGGAAACCAAACTTAAATTGAATGTGACCCATTGATTTTTTGTTTTATATTTATCCATTTGGGCTGCTAATTTATTTTTTTATTATTTTTCTCTTCTTTCTGGTTTGGACTATTGTTTGCTCTTCATTTATAGCCAAAGGAGCAGTCAGCAATCTCCCATAATATATTAATCGCAATAATTTATGCTACTATTTTGTGTGCCAAAATATAAAATTGCAGTTGAGTTTTATTATAATATATTAATCGCAATAATTTATGCTACTATTTTGTGTGCCAAAATATAAAATTGCAGTTGAGTTTTATTCTAATTTCTTATGGCCACTTTATTTGCTGAAAATATGATGTACGAACGTGATACGATCGGGCCTTCTTCAGATACTCTCCCAAGACGAACAGATAATTTTGAGATACTCTCTCACAATGAACAGATAATTTTCAATTCCAACGTGGGGCGCGACAGGTCGGTGGAGTTGGTGGGTCGTTCCTACTATTGGCCATCGCTTCGTCGGGATGTGGCTCGTTTTGTGGGTCGATGTCGCGTGTGCCATATCTCGAAGGGGGGGTGCCTCTAATGCAGGTCTCTACCGGCCGCTACCCATTCCTTCTCGACCGTGGAGTGGCGATGAGTATGGATTTTGTTTTGGGTTTACCTCATACTCAGCGTGGGTTCGACTCGATCTTTGTCGTTGTGGATCGGTTTTCGAAGATGGTGCATTTCATACCTTGCAAGCGCACCACCGATGATCTTCATGTTGCCCAACTATTTTTTTGAGAGATCTACCGTCTGCATGGTTTGCCGTGGTCGATTGTTTCTGACCGTGATACTCGTTTCCTGAGCCACTTCTGGCGGAGCTTATGGCGCATGGCCAATACACGATTGGATTTTAGTAGTGCTTACCATCCACAGACGGATGGCCAGACGGAGGTCGTGAATAGATCTTTGGGCAACCTGCTTCGATGCCTGGTCGGCGATAATCTGCGTTATTGGGATCAGCGACTGAGTCAGGCTGAGTTTGCACACAACTCTGCCATCAGCCGTGCCACCGGGTTCTCTCCTTTTCGGACAGTGTATGCCGTCCAACCACGTAGACTGTCTGACTTGCTGGCGTTTCTGTCCGCTGCGGGGGTTGATCGACGGGCGGCCGATCTCATTTCGGACCTACAGGCCATGCATGCGTCCGCGCGGGCGCATTTGGAGGGCACCACCGCGACTTACAAGAGGCCGGCGGACACTCGACGTCGACATGTTGAGTTTGAGGTAGGTGACTTTGTTTGGGCAGTATTGACGAAGGACAGGTTTTCGGCCCATGAGTATAATAAGTTGTCTGCTCGTAAGATAGGCCCGGTCGAGGTGCTTGAAAAGATCAACCCAAATGCCTATCGTCTTCGCCTATCGTCGCATCTTCACACTTCGGACGTTTTTAACGTCAAGCATTTGGTTCCATTCACAGGTGATAACTCGGACGGAGACGAGACCGGTCCGGATTCGCGGCCGAATCCTTCCCAACTGGGGGAGGATGATGGAGACGAGACCGCGATAGCATTTTTGAATAAATATGATCGGCTACGGGTTTAGTTCGATTATTATTATTAGTCTCTTTATTTTATTTCTTTATTTATCTTGGACATTTAAATAAATCTCTTGTTAATTGTTAAGCAAGAGATAGTTAGGAGTAAGATTCTCTATTTATTTATACGGGGTTGTAATATTGAACTTACAGTCATTATTGAGATTTTGTCAGAACTGCGTGAACTCCTTCGAGAGAGTATCTCGTGTTCTTTCCTTCGTATCACATTCTACATCAAAAAATGTGTGGTAATTACAATTAATTGCTATTGGTTATAGTTTGGTAGCTCAAATTTGTGACATGGGAAGTTGACATTACGAAGGGGAAGGGCCTTTAGATTAAGACCTGCAATGGCCCGATTGTCGCCCAATTCGCGTTGGCCCATTCATACTTTTCTTGCCTCGTTCTTGGGATACGAATTGAGAAAACTTGGGCCACTTTTAGCCAACTTCCACACTTTTGGCGAGCCTTTGATTTTTAATTTAATGCCAACTAAATGTTATTTTGCAGCAAAATTCAAAAATTGTTAAGAAATGTAAAGTGCATATAGTTTCAAACAGAAAATTTCCTTTTTGTTTGGAGAATGTACAGTAATAATTAAATAGTTATTTGTGACGTGATAGAAAAATATAATAAATTAATTAATTATTTGTCATACATACTAGTACGTGGCCGTGCGATGCACGAGAAAATAATATTTTGATTGTATTATTATAAATTAAATAAATAAATAACATTAATCATGATTTACCCATTATTTATAAATTAAACTGGGTTGGACACAGTCCGACCGCATGGACCGAGAACCGGTTTATAACCGATTTAGTGCGCTTGAATAAAATATTTACTATCGAATCCGCCAACACCAGTATGTTGGACTAGTAAGATCGATACGATTTTCTAAACAAATTTTGTTACATGAAAAATTATTTTAAATAAAATTACATATTTAAATAAAATAGAGATTTATAAATTGTTCATCAATTAGTTTAAACATTTGAATTTATAAATTGTTTAGATATTTAAGTAACACTTTTTATTTAAATTTATTACAAAAAGAACTATATATATATATATATATATTTAAGTATTATGTATTAAAATCTGAACAACCACAAGACGGTCCGATTCTGAAAACCTTATATTTACCGTACATTAATAAAAATGATAATGAAATAAATATTTTGTTCACATAAATAATAATAAAATGATATATAAATATTCATAAATCATTAATCATGTTGTCATAAAAGTATTGTTAATATGATTATTTGAAGTTTGGACTACATCACATTCACGTAATAAAGTATTTTCAATATTAAAATTTATATTTAGGTTCAATAATCAATTTGGTCTGGTCAAACTGATACATAACTTAGTTACCTCGGACCAACCAAGTTGTGTCAAGTTTTTTGACTATTTTAAATATCACCTAAAAGTAATTCAATCAAAGTGGGCAGTACCCTAATTCAATCACCCGATTGATCCAAAGTAATTTCCTTATTTTCTTTAAATATAATATTTAATTTTATGAAATAAAAATATTTTATGATTCATATGTCTACACCAAATGATAGTATATTAAGATTATAAATTATATATCCAAAGATGAACTATTTATTTTTATTTTATGCATATTAATAAAAAATAAACATAGTAATTTTAAAAAAATTAAGATTAATTGATTGGGTATGCAATTTAAAAAATATTTTTAGCGTTCAATATATATATATATAATATGATTGAATTTTTGGATTAGAATATATATATTTAAAATAATTTTATTATTAAAAGTCAAAAAGAAAAGATGCCATAAAGATTACAACTTTGAAAAGTTTGTAACCATTAATTTATGAACCCTCCGATTTTAAATGACTTATAATTTTTGAAACATGATACGTGCATTTAAAACCCATTAATTTAGGAACCATCCAATTTTTTGATAATGAGTTAAAATTAAAATGTAAAATGTAAAAGTTGCTGAAAATAGTATATAATAAATGTGGTTGACTTTTTCTTACTACTATTTATGGTAAATGTTAATTCTTATTATATATATATAGATATAGATATAGATTTGAGTGAATGAAAAGTAGTTTTTATACAAAAAAAAGAAAAGCGTTTGACGAGGGTTTTAGGAAAAATGAAGAGGTAAGAAAAATGAGATGAATAAATAATGTTATTTTAGTTGATGGATGAGTTGAAAAATGTGTGAACTAACTAGTGTGACCAAAAAGGCATCAACCAATATACACATTCAAACACGAACATACAAATTCTGCACACTATACTGACCATCTTCGTTTTTTATTAAAACCATAATCTTGCTCTGAAAAATACAGAATTTAGCAAATACAATATAAGGATCATCATCTCTCTTAATACATACAAAACGAATTACAGAGTCATTTCTACAAATGCTCAGACGATATGTAACACATCAGTTTCCGCAATTGAACCCCCTGCAGATGGAGAGGACAATGATGAGGATCAATGCAATAACGATAGCCAAAACAATCAACTTGATCTTCATGTTTTGCAGCCACATTTTTCTCCTAATTTTTGTTCCGGTGGTCCTGAAGTCCTGGGCCTGTTCAAACAACATATATCAAGGGATTACATTGTCAAATTCCTAAATTAGGGCAATATTCGATACGAAATCTCGTACAATTGATTGATGAAGTGCGCATTTTTCTATGTACACATATATTAGTAGGTTAATTTTTACTTGCCTTATAATAAAAATCTCTCTTTGATAATACTCTCACTGTTTAATCTGACTACATGAATATTATTAAGCTTGACTTACAGTTTCACATAATACATGTGTTGCACTGCACGGCTCATTACTTTACACCTCAGATCATCTTCAAAACATTACATGGCAAGCTTTATGTCAAGCTTTTTGTTTGAAACTTTTCAATAATCGTTATAATATCAGGTGTGCATGAGTATTCCACACACTTCATCTCCTAATGCAGCCCCACAATAAATCACAATGCTTCACTTCAATCAAGAGATCTTTATATAATACAGTTCGTATATGGGATAAAACAAAGGTTACACATGCAAAAATATCTGAGCAAATATGTATCAGGTACAAATAGCCCACATGACACTCTCCATATAAATTTAGCATATGAACGTTCAACAGAACCCCATATACCAACCGCCAAACAGGATATGCAACAATAGTTAATCATGCTAAATGCTGTTGTGTAATTGAAATTTAAAGAATTATTTTTTCTTTCTTAGTTTAGGGGAGTGGGTGGGGGTGTTAAGAGAATATAGATACCTGGTGATGAAGATTCTCAGTCTTATCCACCAGAAGCTCTATCTTTTCTCCGCGATCTAGAACCTGCATAATAAATAAATAACCCATATGTTGTTAATATTCTAAAACTAGAGATAAAGAGAGAAAACACAGCAACTCAACATGAGCCATCGACCAATTTGCGATGATTGAGAAAAACGACAGCAAAACCGGTTCTTATAACATAGTTAACAAAACACTAAACACTAGTCAATTTACAAGAATCAAATAGTATTTCTCCTCAATACCTTCTCGATATTCTCCATCATAACACCCTTAACTTCTGAAACCTGAGCCTTCACCTTAGCAAGTTTGCTTATCTCTTCAGGGTGCTCAATACAGTATTGCATGTGCTCCTTCATCTTTGGCCTGCCCAATAAGGATTTTCAGATCAGAGATTAGCTAATTAGATGGAAAATCAAATCAGCAGATATCTTAATCTGATAACCAGATCTTAATGTACCCAAATTCTCTGTTTAGGCCATTTGTAGGAGCTGTTGCAGCCTTCCCGCCACCGTATTTAGCCACAAAGTCATCCCTAACACGCTCCAGAAAAGCCATGGGTAACTGCCTCCCAGCAGATTCTTCAGCAACAACACAGTATGCTGTATGGCAAATCAATGTTTCCATGTTAATAGCTCATTCGAGAGATGGAGCTCATATTTCTCTCGGACATTAGGTAATTTGGGACAAATTTTCGAAATACTGGAGAGAGTTGGAAAAATAAGATCACCGTAACTTATATAAATGTATTATGTGTGCCATTTTTATGAATTCATGAAGTCCATCACTCCTTTTTGTTAGATTACTTTTGTGTCTCATGTATCATTCCATTTTGATGACATTAGCGAGTCAGTTTCAGCTCAAGTGAATCTACCTAAAGGAGAAATGATATATGCAAAACAAATAAGCAAATCACACAAACCAAAGAAATTTAACCGAAGCAAATATATGTGGTCACCAAATCCCCAAACACACCAACATACAATTTGAATCAACAAGAACACATGACCTACAATTAAACCCAAGGCAAAAACAAGATAATCACATAAACACTTTGTCATCTAAACTTCGAAACAACGCAGCGCATCGAATAACTGAATCAACACCTTCTACCACTAAAAGAAATAGCAAAAGAGATCACATGGAAAGAGAAAAACTCACTGAATCCATCGTGAACGAGGTAGTTGAAGGTGTGATTATCGCAGTTGTAGGTGAATTTGTTGTTCGATGAAGGAAGCTTCTGGAGGCACTGATAGGCTATGGAATTGAAGTTTCCGCTAAACTCGGTGTACTCCGCCAGCACCACCGGCGGCGTCCCTCGCGCCACCAGTGCGTAGATCAGCGTCTTCCGACTGCCTTGCGCCATCTTTAAAACAAAAACAGTGTATAAACTTGTTCAAAGAGACGCGATGATTGCTCCTGTTTAGAACGATTTTGCTCCTCAGATCNGAAGAGTTAAAAACTGAAAAGCGAGGTAGGTTCCTGTATATGTGAACGCCATAAAGTAAGCGGGGGGTTTCGTTTGCTTACATTTGACAACTTTGACTTGTCTTTTTTTTTTTTGTTTTTACTCGTTGAGAAATGATATAGGTAAGTTGTATATAACATTCACATTTAAGTGGATCCTATTAAAAATACAAAATCAAATAAAAAATCAAGTAGATCTCACTCTATGTGAGTATTATGTACTTATAACGTTTTTCTTCTAATACTCTTATAGAAAGTTTTCATTATTTTAGTATTGTACCTAATTTTTTTAGTTTCGAACTGTTTAAAATAATATCGGTTTTGACCTTTTGTTGTTATGTTTCTAATACCAGTATAGATATTTGGTCAACAAACCAAAACTTATTCTATAAAACCCTAAACTCACAATGTAGTAATCTATAGTAATATAAAGAGGTTGTTGGAAAAATACAAAAATAGTAAGGTTGACCTAAAAAATAATGTTTTGACTTACTATTAGTGGAAAATTTAAAAAAATATATGTGAATCTTTAGTAACAAAATATAAATCCTATTTTTTTGGTAACTAATTTGGAGATTCTTATGGCAAAATTTGAATTCTATTTTTTTCGTATTATATTTTATTTTTTTATTAATATTTAAATCATATATTTTTTGGTTACAAATTTGGAGATTTTTATGCAAAAAATGTGTCAATAATTTAAAAAAAAATTCTAAATACAAATTAACTTAAAAACCGTACAAATTGGATACAAATTTTAGAAACAAATAGTTGTATAATTCTTAACCAATTCTTCCAATCTTATTGAATAATTTTTTTTCTTTAAAAAAAAGTGAGTAAATTGGATAAAACTACGTGCAATTTTTATTTTAGAATAAAACTGATATTTGGATGGGATGTAAATTCAAAATTGTGTCCATATTTTTTTGTAACAAAAGTTGTTCATCTTTGATATATAAAAATTAAAAAAATCTTAAAATATCCTTAAATATTTAACTTATTTGAGATCAAGATTTGTTAGGTCTTTTTAAGATTAGTTATGATTTAAAAGAAAAAAAATTATACAAAATTTCACTTTAAATCTCACATTCACACTTAAGATTTCATAGTATTCCTCTAAAATTTGATCATCTTAAAAGTCTCAAATCTTAAAAAATCTCAAAGTGACACTCAAAATTCTAAAGGAATACATATTATACATATTATTTAATATTATTTACCCGTGCATCGCACGGGCCACATACTAGTTAATATAAAAGGCATAATTCAAAAGAATAAAATCAAAGAGACAAAGACTCTAAAGGTAGTAATCAAAACTAAAATGGTACATAAAATAGCAAAGATTTTGTAGACAACATAATCAAACATTGAGCTTAGGTGGCAAATAGAATTTTAGATGTGAGGCCAAATATGAATGAGAGATGGTGTTGGTATTGGGCTAGCGATTTGAGTTAGGTAAAAAAAAAAAGGCACAAACTCGATTTGCAAGAGTTTTCATTGAACCTAAATAGAGCACACCATATAGTAAATTATTTTACCTTTTCAAATGAACAATTGATTCGTGTTACGATTATGTAATTGTTTGTAGTAGGGTTAGTATCAGTTCGGTTACCGAACCGATAAGGCTAAATCGATACCGAATCAATTATTTCGGTAACTATAAATATAAAACCGTTTGTATTCGGTAACCGAATTGTCGGTTACCGGTAACTCGGTTCGGTAACGGTTTCCTACCGAAAAAACCGAAATTTACTAATAATGAATGAGAGGGTCAATTTTTTATTTTTTATTTTTATTTTTATTTTTATTGTTAATGGGTGAGATGAGCATGCATGAAATTAATACTCATCAAATTTCGATTATTTTACTTATATCAGTGATTAATAGAAATATACAAACCCTAAAATTAATCCACATATGTACAAAGTGGTCGAGCATACTACGACTTTTACTGAGGGATATTTGTCCGCGAACAAGGCATCCAATATCCAGAATGAATGTCGGCAACGATTGAATTTCTTGAATATTGCTTATGATGGTTTTCAAGTCTAGAATATTGCTTAGTAATTATATCCAAAAGATGCTTACTCTGTTATGCATTCACAAGATATGTAACATAAGTTATTACTTATTAGTTATTAGTATTAAGTTATTAATTATTAGTATTAAGTTATTAATATTAGTACTAAGTTATTAACTATTAACATTAAGTATAATTTTTTTTAAAAAAAAATTCTTATTGGTTCGGTTCGGTAAAACCGAACCTCTATGGTTTCGGAACCGATACCGTACTAATAACATATCGGTAACTGATAATCGGTTACCGTTTTAAGTGAGTCGGTTCGATTCAGTTTTTTTCTCATCGGTTCGATTCGGTTTTCGATTTTCGGTCCAAAAATACCCGCCCTAGTTTGTAGTATGGAATGATGGGCGTGATTAAATTACATGGAACAGGGGTGAGTTCTTATAAGTATCATCTTCAAATCACATGAGCACGATTTCAAACCAATGGATACATCCCCCTTATATATTAATTCAGAACGTGCTGAGCCTATGTGGCATGCTCGCATGCTTCGGGATCCTATGTGGCAAAATTACATGCTTCGTTATTAGGGTTGAATTGATTTAATTTACTTATAATCCAAAAACATTTAGGTTCAGATTATCTATAAATATGTTGATTATTTATGGTAGGGGTGGGAGCGGTCCGGGACAGTCCTGGATTTGACTTGTCCGGATACCAATCCCATTTTTATGAATCAGTCAATAAACAGTCTGGGATGAGGCACCGTCCCTACCCATGTAATACATGGGTGTTATACTAATTTCTTTTACTATATAATNATTGTGAATTGCTTAAGTTATGAATCTATGATAGTAATATTATTTTTTGTTTTGAATCGACAAGGTCCCCAATTCGAAATGGGTATATATCCCTCCCTATTTATATAAGAATATAGATACAGAGTTTTTCGAGTTCATGTGTCGAATTTTGGTGTTTCACAATTTCATATCAACTCGTGGTGTTTCGAATTGGTCAATATAGATCTAGACTGCTACCTGAGTTCATATAGATTTAGACTTCTATTCATACCTAACTTTTAAAATCACAAAACACTTAACTAACTTAATTTGTAAATATGTTTTAAGAGTTAATATTTTTTATTTGTAATCAACTTTTCATGTATGGTATATCAAATTAATCATCTAAATAAATAATAATTTTATTCATCTATATTATACAAATTAAATTATCTATTAACACCTATTGAAAATCAATAAAATAATATATTAAGTAATTATCTATTTAAATTCAAGCAAGTGTTTAGAATCTTGTTAATTTTAAATACATATAACAATGTTTTGAAAAAGAAATTAAAAATATGAATAACAAAATTTATCTTATTTATTTTCTAAATTTAAGTTAGTGCCTAGTGAGTAGTGGCCCTATTAGTCTAGTACAAATAGAATGAACACGCTTTTTGAGTTTTGACTTCGTGAAACGGGCGGGTGACACAAATAACGAGTTTTGACTTCATCAAACGGTTGACACAAAATACTAACAGCGCCGTCTGTGGGAATCGAACCCACGACCACGTGGTTAAAAGCCACGCGCTCTACCGGCTGAGCTAAGACGGCTTAATGATGTAATTAGTCTAATAATCACACTCATTAACCAACATTTGTCTACACTAAACCCTTCTCATTCTTTCTAGATATCTTTCTAGATGAGTCTTGCAGAAGCCCGCCTCATTTCTCACTCAATTGAAACCCAATCAATCAGGCAAATTTTCGTGTGAACTCAAGAAACTACTGACTGATACCCATTTTGCTTGAAGGTTCATTTTATTAATGGAGACGAAGGATTCAGCTCACGGCGGGAGCCATATTGTGGACGTTGGTTCAGTGGCGGAGGCTGTGGCTGCCGAGGATGGAGACGCTCCCCTCTATCATATCGAGAGCCTCTGCATGAGATGCGGAGAGAATGTATGTGTCTCCTTGTTCGATTTTTGTTAATTGTTTTTTTTTTTTGAAGTAATAGTTTAGGTCCTCGGGTGCTCGTGTTGTTTATTGGATTTTCCGAACTTGCTCTGTGTGTGTGTTAATATTCAATTGCATTAGTTGTTCTTTTCTTGTTTCTAAATTTAATTGTGCTCGGGAAGATGATTGTTGATGATTATTGAATTTGTGGTTTCAACTTGTGTTGCTTTGTTGGCTTATATATTTCTTATAGGTTTGCAAGAGTCTACCTAATGGAAGTCTCTTCTCTTACGCAGCTTATGTTTATTTAAGTGCACACTTTGAGGGTGAAATGTTATGCATTTCAGAACTACACAAAGAATGGCATTTCGCTGTAGAAGTTACATGTTTTTTTTTTTTTACTTTTTCCGAATCAGTAAAAGTATGCTTTGAAAATGTCTTACCGCTTTAGTATTTGAAACACAGCTACCATTACCATTTGGAGAGCTAATAGCATAATTAGCGATGAAGACAACAAGTGGATTTTCTTTAATCTGTTTTTGTTTTTGGGTCTTAAATTGAAAGTTTTGGAATTTCGTATTTCTGTTGTTTTGATATTTTGCAGTTTGATTTTTGGCAGAATTCATGATTTTCTTTACGTTTCATTAAACTGTCATGAAATGTTATCGCTGTGAGGATCATACATCTGCACGTAGGGATAGGGCCTTATGAAACTTTAAATTTAATTACATTACATGTATCATATATCCTGGTTTTTCAATCCAACTAAGTGAATAAGTTTTTATTTGCAGGGGACAACACGGTTTTTGTTAACTCTAATTCCACATTTCAGAAAGGTAATGCCCATTTATATTCAGCTACCATATACAGATTTACTAATATCGAGTGAGTACATATATGACATGATGAATGAAAAAATGAATTTAAGCATTAACGTACTTTCTGTTAGTTCCCCAAAAAATATATCTTTTAATAGTGTACGTCATATTTTAATTCCTTGTATCTGTGGCAACAGATACTATTATCAGCTTTTGAATGTCCCCATTGTGGTGAGAGGTAACTTATTCTTTGCTTTTCCCATGGCACTTCTAACTGATGATATCTTTCTTGAATTGGTGGTTATTTTGAAACTTCTTACTCCATTTGTCTTCACTCTGAAGGAATAATGAAGTGCAATTTGCGGGGGAAATTCAACCTAAAGGTTGTCATTACTTGCTAGAAGTTCCAACAGGTGATCAAAAGGTTGTCTCCTCTGAACTTGGATGTTGTATACTAGGCTCTTCAAATGTCAATATGTGGGCTTCTCAAGGACTGATATATACACTTACATATACATATGAGTGTGTGCTTGTGCGTGTTTAGTGAACTGTTATTTTTGTTTAGTTCTTTGGTGTCAATGCTATCTGCATGTTTGTACAGATGTTCAATCGCCAAGTTGTGAAGTCGGAAACAGCCACAATTAAGGTACTTTTTCTTCTGGTCGGTTAAGTTCTTGAATGCATGTGTGCACGATTTTGTGTGAAGTAGTTAAAGACTTAAAGTCATGCAGCAGGTTTTATAGTGTAGATTGTTGATCAGTTTTTTCATTTAAGGCATATGATTTTTGTCCTTGTCTAGAAAAAATTACTATTAATGGGCACTTTCACTTTCCTCCTTCATTACTTACGTGTACTCTACAGATCCCTGAATTGGAATTTGAGATTCCCCCCGAGGCTCAGTGTGGGTCTTTATCAACGGTATGTACATCTCTATCGAAATGTTTTGCTGAAATCAGTGCTTTCTTGCGCTTATTCTGGTTCTGTAGTAATTTCCGGGATATGAATAAACGGCTATACATTATTTAATTTAGGGACACAATCTTTTTAGGACATCATAGGGGAGAAAGCAGAAAATTTTTCATTCTTCTGTTCCCCTTCACTGACAACTAGTTCAAGTTCTGATTGAAATAATAATTAATCAATTGCAGACATTTCATTTTGTACATGGCCGTTCCCGTGGCAGTTGGAAATAGCTGATCACATTCTTGCATGTTAATCCAATTCATCATACATAATTGTTTTTATTTCTCCTGCACTATCTCAATGCTGGCAGAAATATGTTGCTTGATTTAAAGAAATAATAAAAGCATTTTTCATCTGGAGCTCATATTGAAATAGTAATTATTTCTAATTCCAGTTCCTGTGTGGACTTTGTGTTGCTTCATTGAGTTTCATGTGTCTTCATTCATATTTTTCCAAATGAAACTGCTCCCCTCATTGTCCTTTCAATTTAACTGATTTTGTCATCTTTTCTGATCCGTTCTTAGGTTGAAGGGATACTGATGAGAGCTGCAGATGAGTTGGCAGCTCTTCAGGAGGAGCGGAAGGTAGAATTTCTCTCGTGTTCTAGTTGACTTTTCAGGCGTCATCATCTTATTAATACTGTTTTCCTGTGTTATCAGAAAGTGGATCCCCAGACAGCTGAAGCCATTGATGACTTCTTGGTAAAACTGAGAGCTTGTGCAACTGCTGAATCAAGTTTTACCTTCATTCTTGACGATCCTGCTGGAAATAGTTTCATTGAGAATCCGTATGAGTCTCTTTTTTTTTATATATAATCATGGCTACTCCAATAAGCCTTTGAAAAAAATTTAAGAGAAATAATTATGTATGGTTAAATAGGTATGCTCCGGCACCCGATCCATTATTGACGATAAAGTTCTATGAGCGAACACCTGAACAGCAAGCTGCCTTAGGTTATCTTGTCGACCCGTCCCCAAGCACAGGTAATACTTTAGATGAAACAAGTGTTGCTCCTCAGAGGCATGAGGAACCACATGGTTTGGTTGGAGCAAGAGCTGGACGCCGAGCAATTGCTCAGGGTAATAGTTCTCAAATTGCGGATGCCTTATTCCGATATTCTGCTCCTGAAGAGGTACATCTGCTTTTCACACACACACACACACAATTATCGTCGTTTTTTTTTCCATAATAATTTTACTTTAAAAAACATTGCCCCCATCCTTTTGAGGCAGGTCATGACTTTTCCAACAACCTGTGGAGCTTGTGCTGCCAAATGCGAGTGCCGCATGTTCGTTACAAGTATCCTACTGCAATGTCTATACTTGAAAAGTAGCGTGCAAGTTGGTTATTAAATTTCCCGTAAAGGTTTTTATAACATAGTTACACACACACACACACACACTCTTTTGCTCACTGACACAGGTAATTATCTTGAATTTACTCCAACAGATAAAGAATCATTGATAACTTGTTGTCTTAGAAGTTGGCTTCTACTTTTGACTCTGTTCTGGTTTATCATAATTGTTAGCTTAACCATAGCTAGATATTCCTTACTTCCAAGAAGTGATTGTTATGGCCTCCTGTTGTGACGCTTGTGGTTATCGTAACTCAGAGGTTATTATCAATCTAACCTTTTAACCTTGGACATGAACTTAGTTTCTCCAGTTCTCCTGGTGACAGAAAATATGATTTTACATTGTACTTCGCAGGTAAAGCCTGGTGGACCTATTCCTGATAAAGGGAAAAAGATCATTGTTCATGTGAAGAACGTAAAAGATCTCAGCCGAGATGTTATAAAGGTAACTCTGGCGACTGTTTCAGTCATTTCTTAGGCAGCATTCAATCTATGCTGTCTCCATTTTTATTCTCAAAACATGACTTGTTATTAATTGTTGCTACTACTATAGATGGGTCAGTTTCTTCAATGCTTATGTGGAAAATGGTTGTTCTCAGTTAATGAAAACACTTTAGAGTTGAACATAGTTGATCGACTATTAAACTTGCTGGTGTTCTTGTATCCGTTTTGTTGTTATTTCTAATTATCACCATCTGGATCATCACAGTCTGATACAGCCTCTGTGAAAATACCGGAGCTTGATTTAGAACTGGCCAGTGGTACATTAGGTGGACTTGTTACAACTGTTGAAGGTTTAATATCCAAGATTAGTGAAAGTGAGTGTTTTTGCCATACTTCTTATTTATTCATAGCGTACTGCTCTATTTCGGATTTAGCTGCTCTATTTAGCTGGATGAGACTAATTTCAGCATTTTCAACGAACTGCAGGTCTTGAGAGAGTTCATGGCTTTACTTTTGGAGATAGTCTGGATGACTCCAGAAAGAGCAAGTGGAAAGATTTTAGAGCAAAACTTGACAAGGTGTGCTGTGAACCTGGAACTTGACAAGGTTTTATATTTTGGTTGAATTTTATATTAATGTCTTTTCTAATGATTTACTCGTGTCATCTGGACATTGAACTTGAATAACAGCTGAAAAACTTGGAGGACCCATGGACTCTGGTTATTGACGATGCTCTTTCAAATTCTTTTATTGCCCCTGCAACCGATGAAATTAAGGATGACACCCAGTTAACCTGTAAGTTTTAGCTTTCAGAATTACTGTGAAGTTATTCTTAAAAATCTAGGATCTTTTTTTGGCAAACCATCCACCAGCCTGGAGAGTTTTACATGCTCGCCTGAAAATGAGAAAATGACTATTAGAAATCAATTTATATTCCGATGTGGTAGTAATTTCTTGGTCTTCCGTTAATACGACTGGCCGGTGCAGTTTACTTACAAATTGTTCTTTGAATGGCATTCAGTCGAGGAATACGAGAGATCTTGGGAGCAGAATGAGGAACTGGGTCTTAACGATATGGATACATCTGCTGCTGACGTTGCTTATGATTATACTAATGTCCTGCCAAATGAGAAGACTGATGCATGAATTAAACCATGATTTTGGGTTTTCTTCTTTTTACTTCAGTGTGAGTTTGTGACCACATTCAGATGAGTTTTGCTGTAGTAAATCATTATTTTCATTTGAGTAGTAGCTACTAGCTATAGATTTTATATACAGAGAATTTTTGTGCTATCTATCCTCTACCAAAATCAGGTCAGTACAATGAAATATTTGTGATGAAATTTTCAGACTAATCTTTCGTATGGAGATGTTTTTATGAGATGGTATCTTGACTTGTAATTAGGTGTAAAACTGTTTAGACGTATAGTTACAATATGGTGGCGGTGAAACAAGATATGGATGAGGAGAAAACAAAACTAAAGAACATTAAGTTTTACTCATTTATTATTCACCGCCCCCTTATTATTACTTATGCCTCTTGGACAATTTTGTCTCTAGCATTTTTTTTCAAAAAGTAAATAAAAGAAAAAAAAAAAAAAAAACTGTCCGGCCGGCGAAATCGGACGGCTTTTAGCCCGTCTGATGGCCGGAACTGGACGGTTCAAAAGGCGTCCGGTCGGCTAGTTCGGACGGCATAAAAGCCGTCCAGAAAGTTCGTCCGGTCGGACGGGCTATGTCCGAACTGGCCGGCCGGACACCTTAAAAGCCGTCCGGCGGCGACGGCCTGTCCAAAACCGGTCCATTCGGATTGGCCGGGCGGACAATTTTTTTTTAATAAATTATTATGTTATATATTTGAAATAATTATGTTATAAATTGAACGTTACATATTATCGTGTTAGGAGTTAGAAATGATTATGTTACATGTTAGACTTCATTATGTTATTAATTGGACGTTAGATATTATCAGAAATATAATTATTAAATTTTTCCATATGTAATGACTATTGTAATAATTATTAAAATATATTATAATTTATTTTTATTTTAATAATTATTATTATTATAATTTATAATTGTTATTATAATTATTATAACAAATTATTATTATAATTATTATAACAAATATTATAATTAAAATTATAAGAAATTATAATTATTTTTATTATTATAATTAATTACAATTATTATAATTATTATTAATTATAATTATTATTTTTATTATAATTATAATTATTATTATTAATATTTTTATAATTTATAATTGATTACAATTTATTCAACTTATTATTATTATAATTTATAATTGTTATTATAATTATTATAATTATTTCTAATTTATAATTATTATCATAATTATTTATAATTATTATTATAATGTATTAGAATTATTTAGTAAAATGTATTAACTCTTCTTTAAAATTATAACATGTGATTTATTCGTATATTATTGACAAATAGGATTAATTTTTTTTTATATTTATTTATTTCATAATAAATTTATTATAAAATATATTTTCATTGCACAGTATGTTAAATAAATTATAAAACCTTAGGATGCAAATTATAAAAATCTCTTGATTATAGAACTATAGAAGGGATTTATTTTTCGCAATGGCAAAATCATAGTAATTTTTAATCTAAAACGAGTAAGGGGTGTTTGTTTATAAATTTTTTAAATCCATACTCACAATTTAACTAAATTTTAACACAATTTCACTATCTTCAATATTAGAAATATAATTAAATAATATCAATCAACCTTCCTTACATATCAAATCAACTTTAATACATTGTTCATTCACTCACATAATTTTAACTAACTATCACTTCAATTAATATTTTTCTTACTATTACATCAAATCAATTTTAATTATTTTATTTTAATTAATAATTTAATAAAAACTCAAAACGTCACTAACAACTAGTCATATCACTTTTTTCAAAATTAACATTGGTTAACTAAAAAATCGTTCATTTATAAATATATTACTCTATCCTGTTCATAATAAATGTCGTTTTGAAAAGTTGCATAATAATTAATAATCTTTATTTTGTCAATAATAACCCTCATTAATGAAAATAGAGATTGATGTTTTGAGAAAATATGAAAAATGAATATGAAAAGACGTAGTATATTTATTAACTAGATGAGAGTAATAATGAGAAAACATGTAAAAAAAAATCCAAGACGTCATTTATTTAGTTAATGGTCGATAAAATCAAAATGACATTGAAAAAAAAAAGAGGTAGTATATTTTAACTAATTTTCTATGGTTCGTACAATAAATGTTCTGTAATGTTTGTGACACACAAATTTAAAAGAAAAGCAATTGCCCATTTTCTTCCCCGTGAAGGAAAAATGGTTGGGCTGAATTATAACCTCCTTTTTTCCTTTTAATATAATATTACACATTTTGTAAAGAATTGAGCGCATGCAGAAAAAAATCTTAAGCGGGATGTTTAATTTTTCTCATTTACTAGTCACATTTTGTAAAGAATTGAGCTGGCCAGACATATATTTTTTTTAATAATTATAATATAATTATAAATACTTATATTAATAATAACTATAATAATAATATTTATAATAAAGATTATAAATAATTATGATAATAATTATAATAATTATAAATTAGAAATAATTATAATAATTATAATAACAATTATAAATTATAATAATAATAAGTTGAATAAATTGTAATCAATTATAAATTATAAAAATATTAATAATAATAATTATAATTATAATAATA